TCTATGCAAGAAATTCTTGCAGTCCAACTATTCAGCTATTAAAAGCCATATGATCTCCCCTCTCTTCCATTTTGTAGACTACATTAAACACAAACATTTCGTGTCATACAATTTTATTAACCCGGAATGCCAGCAAATGACTGCAAAACAATCTCTCTCTCCTTTTTGATTCAACAACAAAAAATAGCTCAAATTTGGGAAGATCTGTCAGCATCACTGGACTGATCACCTGTGTGATCTCAAGGTACCAAGGATTCAGCTCTCCACGTTGCAACCCCAATTGTGCTCTGGAGCACTATCTCAGTCGGCTCTACCCGTCCGAAACAAAAGAGTACAATGACAGAAATAATCGTGAACCATGGAGAAATGGGGGGTAAGAGCTTCTCCATTGCCACCATGTGGCTAGTGAGCTCTTCCTGTAAGCGCATCGGGATGGTAATCCTGAATATGGATTGCAAGTCTGAAATACACTCTCTCCCCACTTTGTTTCTCTCAGTGTGATAGCATCCTTCTGTTATTAGGTAAACGGGAAGATCTAACCAGTACACAGTTAACTACCTGCCCGCTCAGCAGCTTCTGTACTGAAAAATATTACAGGAATATGTATTACATGAATAAAAATGTAACGGATACCTGGGTTTGTCATCATTCCACAATATGTCTGTTAATATCATAACTACAGTAAATCATATTGCATTCTGACTTTTTTTCAGATTTTCCTTCCCAAGGGATGATAAGAAGTAATCTCCCTGTTGTTACAAATGTTTTATTTGGAAAATAAAGCTTTTATGCATATTTTAGTTGATCTAAATACAGTAGATCTTGGGTTTTTAAATCACCAGATAATATGCAATTATCTCAAGCTAGATTCTGATTTTGAAACAAGCTCTAATTAGCTCCCCATTTTATGCTGCTATAATCCTTTCTTCAACTCCCATGAGTGTTACTATTGCTAAGCAGCATGAGGTTAGGAATGATGGATGATACCCAGAAAGGAAGACAAACAAAAGGGAAATTCAAAATCCCCTGAGATCACCCGCAGCTGTATCGGCAAATGAAGATTTCCACATTAGGTCATAAGACGACCCTTACAGAAACACATACCAAAAAGGCACGTCTTTTTCCCACTGAGTATTTGCAAGTCTTTAATGTAGTATATAGAGAGTGTATGTCCTTCACAGAGGATAAAGACAAAAGTGAATGAAAATTCAGCTTTCCTGGGAGTAGCTATGAAATCAAAAGCACCAAAACCGAAACTTTGTCTTAATGTCATATAGATGCTCAGTTAAGACCTAAAACCCCCAAATAAAACAAACTAATAAAAGCTATATACAGTACAAGTATTTAGAAAAATATCCAAGCACATAAAGCTTCTTCTGGCATATGGCTACTGTCCAAACCCAACCCAGCCCTGATCATCAGTAATGCAACTAAATAAGGGCCAAATTCATCACGAAAAATGCTGATGCAGTTGGGTGACACTAATTCAACTTTTTTTTCCATGTGATTTGGTCCGTGCTTTTGACACATAAATCATTAAAAAGGCAGATTTACCCAAGGGCACTAGAGCATTTAGGTGGAAAGAAATACACAGAAAAAATGTTAGAAAAGGCACAGTGGTACTATTTTTGACCACCTAGGGTACAGACACCATTTTTGTGTAAAACATGTTCACTGAAACTTGCACAAAATCACTAAAGCCTTGATGAAAGGTCACAGGCAGAAAATACAGAGATATATCTGGTTGTAATTTTGGTATAGACTGTGTTTTTTCAAAATTCATAAATATAGCTTTCAAAGAAGAAAAACAAGCCTGGCTTCCCTTTCCTATTAAAAAAGAAAAAAAGCTTATCCATTCATTCCCACATATAAAAGACTGATGGGTCCGTCTGTCCACGTGTGACAATGGAAAATTACCGGACAAAAGACCAGATTTTCATGAATGAGGTGTTAATCAAAACCTTATGATCTAAAAGTGTAACTAACTGGGTCAGAAATCCAGAAAATCTTGCTAGTTTGAAAGAATAGTGCCAAACGGTAATGAAAATACTCACAGCTAATAAAAGTCTGAGACGTTACTATGCACGTTGACACTCTGTACACTGAAGACCTTCTTGGCAAGGCACTCAGGAGCCACTGAACGCATTAGTTTAATTTCACTTCTTTCCCTTCATGCATTCAACAAGTTCCAAGCCAATTATATTACACGGAAAAGGCTCCAGACCTTTTCTCATTTCAAAATTGTTCTGATTAATTTCTGTTTTAAAATTACAAGTATGCAACCTTTTTTGCCTTGATTTTCCTGGGAAATGTCTCAGAAGACCAGAAAATTGGAGCTGTCTTTTTTTTTTTTTTCCTGCCCTGGAGTGGAGGATCTTTCACAAATGCATAATTATTATTACCTTTTCCAAACTGTTTGCTGCGCTTTTAATTACAGAACAGCTGCTAATAAAAGAAAATTACCAAACTGCCCTTCCTTATTCAAATAACTTGGTTTCGCTCTTTTGTACTGTGTGGTGTCACAACCTTCCTGATTCCTTTATACGGAGAAACGCACCACGAAAAGAACGTCTTGTACAACAATTTTATTTTTAATCCTTTAAAATATCCTCCTTTGGAAAGGAGGAAGAAAATGGCATGAACCCATTTTCTCATTTGCAAGTCTGCTTTAAGGAAAGAAGGAGGGTGATCATCAATAATATGATTTTATTAGCTGATAGGAATGTGTTGCCTCACCAAATATTAGCTCAAGGGCAGGAACTGACAAACGAGACTGGGAGTGTGGGAGGGGAGCAAAATATCACGGCAGCAAAACTGCACTTCCTCAAGGAAATCACTTCCAGCTACCAGCGATCCTCACGGGAATCCATAAGGTGGTCGGATTTTAATGCTATGGGCTTGTCTTTCAATCTTTTATAATTACAGTTAGTCATAAATATGATGATTAGCAATAACAATGCAGCCTTTTCCCAGCTCCTCTGATTTCAAATTCCTCTTAAAATGGCTATAATTAATTACTCATATTTTCCATGCTGTCTTAGGCGTTTCTAACTGTAACAGTTACTCTTGCATAGTACTGATACTACAAAAAAGTAGTCAACGGCATGCTTTTAATGAACAGCAGCATATAAAATGTCGCAGGAAATTTCCATGTTTGCTAAATGCTTGGCTATAAGAAACAATAGCCCCATGATTGCAAAGAATTTTCTCCCATTTTGGTTTTGTTTTCATGGCTTGTTTTTACCAGGGGCAGTTTTTTTTTTTTTTGCTTTTATCTATTTATTTTCAACTGTTCTTCTTAAGAAAAACGTGGACTGAATATCATCACAGATTATCTTCTAGTAAAATCTTCTAGAATGCAAAATAAGTTTCCCAGTAGAGAGAAAAAGCAGTAGCAGTTTGGTTGGGATATTCAGAATAAATCCAGCAAACTCCAGAGAAAAAGAGTGTTTCAGAATGGCAGAAAGATGGAAGAAGAGCACAACCCATCCTTCTCTCTATCCTGAAATGCAGTAATTCTCCAATATAGGGCACCGGCTCTAAGTACAGAGCAGGGCACAAGTATTTTTCTAGAGTACAAAACAGCCTGAACAGTTTACGTCAGTTAAGCATATCATTGGTAAAAAGTCTGTGTGGGTAGAGTTTGGTATCCAACAGCAGGAACACAGCTGTTCTGTTCCAGCCTCCTTCCTAGACTGTGGCCATCTTACAAAACCTTTAGCAATTCACTTCTCTTTGACACTCATCTTTGCTGCATCTGCTTTTTTGCAAATGGAAAGGGGAGGGAGAAAAAAAGGTCGGCTTGGAATATTTAATGAAGCTTGAAAAAGAAAGACATAACATGGTCTTTTCCCCACCTTCAAATTAACAAAGCAGATTTTGTGCAAAGGAAAGTGGGGAAAAAATATGCCAGTGAGTACGGCAGCTGGAGTATGTAGATCACATTACAAACGAAAGGCTTGTTTTACAGCCATTGTCACATGTCAAGTTGATAAGCTGAACTATGGTAAAAAAAAACCAACCCTTACAGAGCCAATGATCTCTAAGATCAGACAGAGTCTCTTTACCTAATATATGCAGCTAAATATGCGTACTCCCTACATCTGCCATAGCAACAAGGAGAGAACGAGGAATTAACTGTGTTAATAAAAAAATTGAAGGGACTCCTGTATGATATAACAAAACGCGAGAAACCTCTCGGCATCAAAGCAAAAGAAACGTAACAAAAGCACAGAGAATTATTTCAGAGCAAATCATTGAAACCAGCTGATTACCTGAGCTTGCACATCCCTGCTGTAGGGAATCCTGTAATGATGTCACAGAGTGAAGGACTAGATAAGAGAGGAGAGGAAAATCAGGGAACAATAAAAGGAGATGCCAAACCACAAACTAAACAGTAAGCAGGCTCAACAAATAGCAAACTGCTGTTCTCGGCAAGGGCACGCTGCTCATTTAAGTCAGTGGCATTATAAGGGTACAACCAAGGCCAAACTCTAGTCTGGCCTTTCTGTATCAATAGGTATTAGGATAAGAGAGAGCCACAATAAAAGCATAATTGCAACACAGCATTCCCTCTTTAAGGCTTAGTTCTTCTAGCTCACCTCCTGCAAAAGCAATCGATATTCTCCTAGGAACAATAAAAAAATCCCCTATGCAACCCTAGAAAACAGTGCACATGATTTTCCAGCTCTTTGGCCAAAATTTTTTGAATTACGTATCATATTCATGCCTACATAATATCATCCTAATTAGGAACTTGATAACTACTGCTTATCAATTACGCATAAAGGAGTGCTTCGTTTGTAATCAATTCCCAGCGCATCCCCCTAGGGACCGGCTGGGCTGCGAGGATGGACGCTGCCACTTCCAGTAACGCCTGGACTAGCACCGGGTGCAAGTCTCACTTACTGCAAATTTTAAAAACAAAAAAAAACAAAAACAAAAAAAGAGAAAATATCTCCTCCTCCTCAACTCAAACAACATAGTGGAATTTTAATTACCTTGTCCTTGTTGCTGCCCTTGTGCAGGCAGGACACACTGTCCCAGCTCACCATTCAACCAGAGCTGCATACGAATAAATGGTTCTCGGCCTTTTTGGGTCAATTTACTCCATGGCTTTGGCCTGGAGAGCATGTCACTGACACTTCCTTGGGACAGCCCCAATACCTGAAGCGAAGCAACCAAGAATGGCACATTAACACACATTTGATGTGGAAGGGGGGGTAATTTAAGTCACTTTCGTTTCCTTTACTGCTATATCGCTCAAATTGTTTTTATACGGATAATTAATAAAACTGCAAAATGACATTTGTAGGTACTCGGATGGAAATGCTTTTCTCCTGCCATGGTTTCCTTCTGGAGCCTGGCTTTTTTCCTGCAGGAACAGAGCGGCAGCACAAACGGCAGAAGGATGGTGCGAGATTTGCATGCTTTTCATATTTTGTGTCAAATAGTTTCCTCAGTTCTAACAGGAAAAACACAGAGTCCAGGCACACACAGGCAGATAAAACAGGAAATGATTGGCATGTATTTTGTTCTCAAACAAAAATAATTGGGACTATTGAGACTAGGCCTATATTTGGTTGATTTTTTTGGTATGAATTATAATGATGTGTGTTTTCACCTGTAGCAGCGGCTGCTCCACGTAAGTAAATATTTAAGAACACAGCCCGCTGCAGCGAAGGGGGAATTTCAGACAGGCAGAATGCAATTACTTGCCTGGAATTCAGCACAGGTACAGGGGTTAAAAATCATACTTAATGAAAGCTGCCACGGGATCTTTAATGACCCCAAGAGGTCAGGCTTTTCATTTTACATCTTAGTGAAAAGGTAATAGCGCGATGCCAGCTCCTATTATACTATTATATTGATTCAATTCTTTGTAAGAAGAAGAAACACCAGATGTCCACAACTTCTTACAGGCTGGGAGGTGTTTTCTGGTGGTCGGGGATCCCCCCCCGCCCCCCCGAAATCCCACGTGTTCAATGCTTAGGGCCCACAACGTGGTAACTTCAGAAAGCCCTATCGTGCATCGCGTATCTGTAATCAAACATTGCTTAAAAACATCTCAAAGCACACTAAGATACCAGGCAGCAGGTGTAAGAAATGACTGTGAATTCTTGACTAAGGAGAGGTAGGGGATTTTCCGTGTGTTTGTTTAAATACCCTTGTGCACACTTCCAAACATTAAAAAAAAAAAACCCAAAGAAAAAATGCTCTTGTGTCCATAATCTTCACTCATAACAAATTTAAGACTCTCAGTCATGACAATGGTACTACTCAAATATTCCACGAATTCATTACATTAAGCATGAAATATTGAGTCTCAGTAACGGTTGCTTCAGCTTTCAAAGCTTCTAAACTCACAGGTCCCATTTCTAATCACAAGTGGCTGAAGCCAATCTTGGTACAAAAACCTGTGCGATTCACCGAATACAGGAAAACTAACACTTTCCTTTGTGAGCTTATTTTTCAAACACTTAACATACGAAACCAAAACATTTTTCCATAAGACATTCTGTTAAACTGAGCTCCATATCAATGTAAGGAGCGGAGCGCACATTCACAATACTGGTGGAACAAGAGATAACCACTTCTTTACCTTTTCCCCAAAGATCCTTTGGCAGATGCCATTCTTTGCTAGTTTTTCTTTGACCTGCCGCGTTAGCTCTATCGTATCCACTTCCTGGTACATATAAATCTCATACTGCTCGGGTGTCAGTGGAGGAACTGAAGGTTTGGATGGCTTTGACAAAGACACGATAGGGGATGAAGGAAGGGGGCTATTTTGTGGCGTCTCACTGCGACTCGCCCCAGTCATGCTCAATTCAGAACTCTGGGAGTACGGAGATTCAGCGTTTGGCCACTCTTTCCAATACTCTGACGAAGATGGTCCTTGGAGCTGGCTACGATCTGGCCTAGTCTGATTGCTGACCTTTTCTTTTCCACCACTGGCTTCCTCAACTTTTACATCTTCAGGAAGAGCTGTATTTCTTCTCTCATGCTGCACAGTATTCCACCAATGGTCCTTCCAAACACCACCACGTCCCAACTCATTTTTAACATGCCTCAACATACCCTGGGCAGAATCACTTATTCCATGAAGCTCTAAAACAGGTGCCTCCTGAGGCTCCTTTTTGAGCCCAGAGAGGTTCTGCAATGCAGAGATACTGGAATCAGTGACAGATGAATGTTTCTTCAGGGATATGGCCAAAGGAGAATAGCTGGAAACCGAAGACATTGCAGGTGTAGATACTAGTTTGGGGGACAGGATAGAAATGTCAGCTTGAGATAAAGGTGGTGTTTTTAAGGCAGGTTCAAGGGCAGCCTGCTGTGCCTCCATTTCGCGTCGGGCTTGTTGCAGAATGGATCGAATAGCATCATCAGAATTGCCACTGCTAGATGCAGAAGGCGGCTGAGCCGGCTCAGCTATGAAAAACAACCAAAAGACTAAATGCAACAGAGGAACATGCTTTATATTCAACAACTGCTACTGTAAATATTTCCCTGTCAGAAAACGGGTTGCAATACATTTCTGGACAGGACGGAGGAGTTTTCACTAAGCAAAGATTTGTACTTTTCAAAATAAGGTAAGATTTCCAAAGTTCTTCACTGGAAACTTTTTATAGTTGCCAAAATGCTGGACATTTGCACGCACAGACTCAACTGCACAAGTCTACTACTACTGGCATGCCTTCCACCATTGTAAAAATTTTCAAATAAATGCCTTTGAAAACCAAGCTTTCACCTCTTCCTCCCCCACCCCCAAGTGGTCAATAACATTTTATGGTTCTATTTACGAAGTTATTTAACCTTTCACTTCTCTCTATCTCATAAATGAATCGTAACACACACTCAAAACTGAACACAGCTGCATTCACCTGGACAGGCTATTAATACCCTCTTGCAATATAAATAAGGTGAGTCCTTTTAACTCCAAAAATGTAACACACAAATTACAACAAAGCAAGAACTTTAGTAAGAAACTTAATTATTTCATTTGACAACCTAAATATGCTCCTGCTTTCTGTTTTCTTGTTCCATGGCCCCAACCACTGAAATAAACAGCTCTACAAAAATCAGGCTGATGCCTGGCCATCACTCTGTCTTATCTGAAGCCCTGGAATGGAGTCACGGGCGCTTTCAGAAGAGGTAACACCTAAATGCAGTATTTCAGTGGTGAACCAGGACTTGCGTGGCTGTGCTGCAGCAGCTGGGGATGAGCAGAGGCTGGAACGTATGTGCAGAATTATCTCTGCAGAGCCAGGCTTTTGCAATGGCATCTGTTTCCATTTAAGTTAGTCTCCACTGAGGTTCCCAGTGCTTGAAAACCAATTCCTCTGAAAGCTACTCCACAAAGAATGGGGAAAGTGAAGCACTAGATAGTAACAGGGAACTCATACGCTGCAAGAAGTGGCCTCAAAGTGAAATAAGATTTGAAACATGCTGTGTATTATTCTAGTAATAGTATGCCTCATCTGAATACATTTCCGAATTTGTCTCCCTACATTCCTTCCTGTCACACACTATAAAATACATGAAAAGCTAAGAAATGGGAAAAATGACAGTGGGACTATTTCTTCGGTTTTATCTACTGGTTTCATAGGGAGTTTTGAGGCTGAATTAATATTTGAAAGGAAGTCTGAGATTCTCAGATGAAACATGCTACTGAACAACGTGCTTGCAGTTTCCTGCACGCAGCCCGTATTTTTCTCTATGTAATCATTACTTACATGAAGTCGTATTATTTAAATCATACATTAACTAGTCTTTTATTTTTTGCCACGAGATTAGCTTAGTTTTCATTTCAAAGACAACCATTCGAAACTCTAAATCAGTATTTACTTTAAAAAATGAAACAAAAGTATTGCACAGTACTTTCTACTTCAGCATTAGCCCTTCAGCAGAACTGGAAACTCTTTTAAAAAGTTGGGAGGGCTATGGAGTAGACAGAAATGTTAACTACATGGCAGCATACGATGAGAAATTAAACCTATCTCGGGCTAAGATGTTAAACTAATGATGTTTTTGGGAAAGGAAATGTTTTTTGGATTTGCCAGTTCGTTCACTGAATACATTCTGAAACCAAAACCAGTGTCACATAGAAGTTAGAAATGAGTTTGCCTATATTGTAATTTCAGTACATCATGTCCACAGTACAATGGTACTATGTGACTGGTAACTGCTGGCTAGATCGTGACCTTCACCCCTGACAAATCCACTCAGTTCCCTCTCCCATGCAGTTGTGTCCCTGGGGCCTGAGTTAGATAGAAGAGCAGAGAAAGCAGGAGCCATTCACTTTCAAAAGAGCAAACTGGTAGAAGAAAGGATTTTGTAGGCTCGTCCTGCAGCGTGACTGCCTGCAGGTCTGGAGTGGTGTAAAGGTGGCAGAGCTCTGCATGCGGAATAAGGTGTTTAGAAATCTCACAGTGTCACTCCTTGGCACTCAGGTAGAGCAGAGCGGGCAGAACGCTGAGCAGAGACCCTGCCAAGCCATGACATGTGTAACCTTAACTGGGGATGTCTTACAGACAGAAACAACTCCACTAAATAATTTAAGAAAAAAAAAATAAACCTCTTCAAACTTACATTCAAGGTTTTAAGAATATAATTAACTGACCAGAAAGCTCATGGTAATTGTTTTAATTAAATTCTGAAATAAAAGGAGCAAGAGACAAAATGAGACCATACCTGTTTTCTGTACTTGCAGCTCCCTTTTGGCTTGTTCAAGAATGGATTTGATGGCTTCATCAGAGCCAGTCTCTGTGGTTCGGATTCGTGTGGTTATATTACCTGAAGAGGAAAACAAAACTAGTGACACTGGGAAAATTTTTATTTGTTTGGTTGTTTTTTTAACATAAAGACAGACAGTATATACTGATATACCGCCAGCATGACCTGATGACAGTTTACATAGGACCTTTACCAACACTTACAACACCAACAACGTACTTAACATAATAGAAGAAAAATATCTTCATTGTACAAAAGCCTGCCCACTAGCTGCACTGGAATGATGAGAACACTGACATAGTCAGAGAAAGAACTAGGTGGTCATATATTTCTTTTCCAGGCTAACATATATAGGTTTATTGTTTTCCTTTTCTTTTTTGGAGGGGGAGAAGAAATGGAAGGAAAAAGAACCAGAAGGGAAAGAAAGAAAGCCAAAAATCTAAGATCAGGAATCAACTTAAAAATTGCATCAGCTGCTAGGCAAAGTATACGTTCAGCCCAAAACAGAATTAAAATGTAACTAGATAAAAATAATTTTTAACTTTCTAGAGGCTAATGTATTAAGAGAAACAGTCATTTAAACGCAGATACTATTTGAAGTACTCTCCAGCTAAGAGCTGTTATTTGGTTGTCTGGTTGTGTTTTGCCTTTTTTTTAACCACTAAGGGGAAGAAAAGGATGGAAAACTATGACTGAATGCTATTGCACTTAACTGTATTTTTCATTACGGATTATCACATTAAGTGAGTGAGATAATTTCTGACTGGAGTCAAAGCAACTACGGAGTTTCAGGGTACCTCTTTTTGTTTTTTCTTCTTCCTCTTGTCTTGCTAAAAGAAACATTCTGCAACTAATCTATAATGAAGAAAAATGTTCGTACTTCCTGTTCAGTGATAATTTATTGATCTGATGTTTACTTATCGTATTGTCTTTTTCATACGGCATGCTGAAGTATCACACTAATTTAACAGCATATTAAACTGTATTTGTCAACATAAGCCCCATGAGAAGAAAGAAGTAAATCTAGAGTAGAAGCAGCATGTGATTGATGTTGTAATTGTGCAGCTTTCTCCCTCCAAATCACAAAAATAGCAAAGAGAGCATTTCAATAGATCTGATGATTTTATAAAGCCACTTCTATCACTTATCTCTTTTTATCTGCGTACACAGTGAGGCTGGGAGTGGAAAAAGTATCCGAACAGGGTTACGTTAGTACAGCAGCAGCAGAATTAGAAAAAGCAAAGTGTTCGTCTAACCCATGGTTTGTTTTATACTTACTGTCTGTTTTTCTATCAGATTCCAGGCCAGAATCAAACTGCACAGTTTTAAGGAAACACACAGCTAAAGCACACTCCACTTCCTAGGTATTGACTGCAAAGAAAAACACCTGCCTGTGACGTACCTTCAGACCCATTTCTTCGTTTCGGTACTTCCTGAAATAGTCTGTTCAGGTTCTGGCCTGGATTCTCTGTTGAAAAACAAGTTTGGTAAGAACAAAACAATCAGGGGATGGTTGCTCTGACATCATGGGCTGTGTGACATGAGAAGCTAGCAGCCTGTCTCTGAACGCGAGGGTTCGAGCTGTCCTCGCCCCCTCGAGCCTTTGTCTGAGCGCTGGAGGAGCTGGCTACTTTGAAAGAAGCAAGGCTGGCTGATTTGTTAATAAAGATTACAGCTATGTTCGGAAAGGAGATTAGACAGATATAAATAAATGTCTAGAGATACCAAAAATGAAGAGGTTAAAGATGGGCAGATAATCCCCTCAAGTACAGTCATCAAAATGAAGAACAGATTATAAATCTAACAGTGTGCCCTTCCAATTAAACAAAATCTAGGAAAACCCTGCCTGTCCTTTCCAATATTTCTTGACTGTAAACAACTTACTTTTCAGTTTCTCTAAATGTAAATCTCAGTCTTCGCTTAAGATGAATCACAATGAAATGCATTATTTCTTAAAATCGCTGCCTTAAATATGCAAAGCTGCTTTAAATTAGGATTGTTTTTTAATGACTCATCTCATGCATCACCTATGATATTTTGTGAAAACACTTTGGAGGGGAAAAAAGAAATAAAATGACACAAGACATGACAGAAGTCTGGTCTCAATAAACAATTCCAAATAAAAATTTTCAAGCATTTCTGAGGGCTGATACCCTTAGTAGCTACTGCCCCTTTTCATTCTGTTTTTAGCTCTGACATGGAGCTACTGGGAAGTGAGGGATGTAAGCGTCCCTGCTGTTTGCTCCTGCCGACAAACACAAGTCGGCGGCTAAAAAAAGCATAGGCAAAGATACTAACCGACTTGAGTGCTGAAGAGCAGAGTTAGAAAGCTGTACTTTCTGTAACTGACATCTGATTTGGGTGAAAACAGCAGCAATGCACAAATGGGAAGCCCTGTACAGGGAAGTTTCCAATTTTTAACATTCATAACTAACCGGAAAACAGGGGAAGACCCTCGGCCAGCGAGCGCTTACCTCTTTGTCTACCCTGGATGCTGCGAAGAGCCAAGATGTTCTGCTCGTCCGAGAGGAACTGCTTCATCTTATGAAATGGTTCCTTGCCTCTCACAGTCAGTTTATTCCATGGCTTTGGCCGGGCTAGTATCTCACTCACAGACCCTTGCGACAGTCCCAACACATAATGTCCAAATATCCGCTGTCCAATATTGTGCTTGATCAATTGCTCTTTCACCTGACGTGCAATTTCAGCTGTGTCTATCTCCTCGCCTTCAGAGATGCTCCCAGCACTTTCTGACTGGCTGGGAGACGGGGCCATGCCATTTACGTCCGGACTTTGTTGTAATGGACTTTGGGAAGATATGGAGTTTGTGCTGTAAGGACCTGTTGAAAAAATCATGCTTGTGCTTCCTGCTTCCTGCATTGCCTTGGAGTAGAAGGACTGCATTAGCTGTCGCTGGAGGAGAGAGTTTAGTGCAAATTTTCCTGTGGAGGCCAGGGGTAAGCTGGGGCTCGCCAGGGATGAGCTGAAAAAGTCTTGACTTAAACCCGTTGGTGAGAACTGGTGTGTACCATTAGTATTGGAAGCCTGCTCCCCCGCGTTGCGGAGCAACTGAGAAGGAGGGGAGGCCGGCAAGGTTGCAGGACGCTGACTCTCAGGCTGGTCTTTCCCTTTTCTCCTGGCTGACCCTACAAGGAAGGTCAAACATAATGCATTATGGGGGATCAAAGAGGGAAAAACCAAGATAAAAAAATGCAAAGTTTGCCCCGCAAAGGGAAAAAGTGCAGATTTACAAGGGCCAATGAAGTGGCAGTAGGATTTTGGGTTTTGTTTTGGTTTTGGTTTGTTTTCGTTTGTGTTTTTTTCCATAATTTAATTTTTAATAAGCCAAACAAGGCCCCCAAAACAAACAACATGCATTTCATGTTTGCACCTTTCTTGTATGTTGCAGCCTGGAGAATCCCCCTTACAAACATTAAAACTAGAACAATTACATGAAGTGCGATTATACATTTAAAATAAATGCAGTTACAGACAGCAAGTCTCTGTAGTCTCTCATTCAAGACATTACTCATTGGACCTGACTGAACCCAAATGCAGCAAACATTTACATTTTGGAACAAACCAATTTGAATAAAGGAATCACCATTAGGTGGATGCACCAAGATCACTCAGTTAAAGTCATAAAACACTTCAGAATTCAGTAATCCCAGGGCCAGTGGCAACTTTTAACTTTCTTCCAGCTGCAAAAACCGTAAGCATCTAAGTATCTGGAAATTCCATGACTGGCCATTTAAAAAATGTGCACACAAGACGTAAAAAGCCCACATTAGGAAAGCTGAACGGCAAACACACTTCACTAAAAAGAAAGTATTCTGTTTTTCCAAACCGACCTGCTGGTAGTACATCTAAGCGTATCAGACAGGAAGATTATTGTGTTCTACATGCAAACACTTTGCATAACACTGGGCGGGGGGGGGAGAGACTTCTGGTGCCACAGATGAATTTGTTCCCAAAACAGAAGACAGCCTCAAACGCTACCACTTGCTACATCTTGTAATGCCTCTCCTTCCTAAACTTTAAAGACTCTCTGAGGTCTCCAAGTTCTATTTTATTATCCAGCCTATAAAACTGCAGAAATCAAATGTTACTCAGTCTTCTTGTTGCCACTTAATCTTTCTGCCATGCATTAGCTCAGACATTCATCTCTCACTCAGCCCTCCCTCCCTTTACAAGACAGCAAACAAACCAGAATAGCTGAAAATCGTGTCAACCTACCACTCAGGTCACTATTTGTGATACGCAGCGTGGCGTTCTCAGACTGCAAGGAGCGGTTCTTCTCCAGCAGCAGCACCTCCAGCGGTTTAGACGCATCCTAAAGAAAATCAAAGTGGGAGGTTTGTTTCTAAAAGCATTAAGAGTGTCACTCAGGCACTAAAAAAGATTTCAGAAGAAGAAAACAAGTGCTCATCTCTGCTATGAATGCAGCTAGGGAATTCACCATGCATATATTTGCAGGAATCACTCAGTGCTCCTACATGAGCCATAGAAGAGATTCACTGTTTAATTTTCATTGTAAATCATTCATCAATTCTGCATTATTTTGAAATGTGTAATGGAACATTTTCTTAATCCTACTTATTTAAAAATGGTACTGGCACGCTTTCGATTTAAAAGCTGTAGACTTCTTTTAATCTGATTAAAATAGGAGTTAAGATTATATTATTTCTTCTAGGTCAACTGACCCAAGTTAAGTATTTCCTTGAAATGTTGTGTTTCAGCATAAACAGTTTGTTCAAAAATAAAACCAGTCACAGAAACCTGCCATTTACTTTCCACTAAATATCTAACCCTTGATCATTAAAAAAACATATTGAAAATTAATCCCAGTATATTGATATTCAGTTCAGATTTCAGAAGCAGGAATTCAATTCATAACCTTTAAACTTAAGTAAGATTAATTTGCTGGAATAGCAGAGCTTTCTCCTGTTTCCTCAGTACTCAACGGTTTGTTTTCTTTTGTGAACATTATTTTTAAGGCTAATAAAGACTTAAAAATGCTAAAATCCTTGCTCAGCATACTATCAGTACAAGAAAGATGCAAATCTCAGCATAGCTGTACACCAACTCTAGTATCTTTAAAAGACTCCACAATATTATGGTTATCCACTCCAGCACTGCTGAAACGTCATTCTTTGTCCTTGACTACTTAAAAGAAATTAACTAGCAAAAATGTTCAGTTCAGCTTTTTACACAAGAAAACATCAGGAAAACAGTGATCAACCCATATGTCTCAACATCAACAGGAAATTGTCCATGCCAACACCAACAAATTGCAAGACAAAATTTTTGTTAATTAATTGAACTGCTGAAGTAAGAAAGAAAACAACAGTAGGTTCAGTACCTGCGCGCTAGAGCTTTCAGATGGTGCAAACTCCATGGATTTCAATATACTGTGGAAGGCAGAAAAAAATTATTTTCTATTTCTTCTTTTCATAACAACTCCACTAATGAGCATTAAAATTACCATTTCCTACTCTCCAGCAACACTACAAGTGATAACAACTTTCCTCGCAGTAACACACTCTCATAATGAATAGAAAATAACTATTCAAACCAGTTATTGGATAAGAAAATTTTCTCGAGCGTCATCTAAATCATTCTATATGCAATCCCACTAGGCCAGTTTAAAGTGTAAATTTAAAGGTTAATAAGGATATAACATTTTAAGCTGTCAGAAGCGATATAAATTTATCTGTGAAGCTTGAAGGGAATGAAAAAGTTGCAGCAAAGCAACAAAACAGGGGAATCACCACCACGGTTACAGTACTTTATATAATATATACCAGCTCACATAGCAAGGAAAATATGCACAAATAATCTTCCTGACCAAGACAATACAGGCTAAAAGGCAGTTTTTCATTTTAATAACCTCCCAGTTCTATGGCAAAGGGAAGACAAAATGGCACAATATTTCTTAAGAAATATGAAAGATCCAAATATTTATAAGTACATTAAGAGAAGAATCTGATAGTCTTATTGTCAATATTTTATATAAACACTGAGTGGTCAAAGGACGTCTCCCTTCAAAGTCTTTCAGTTGGAGTTGTATCGTCTGGCAAACGAGAATCGTACAGGAATACAAACTTATTACTGTGCTTTGTCTTATAAATTTTTGTAAGTAGGCCTGCTGCAGGCAGGACGTTAACTTTCTCAGACTGAAGCAATAAATGATTTCAGCTTCTCATTGTACAAAGACAACATTCATTTGTTAAAAAAAAAATACATAAACAGATATAGATAGTGTTTATACAGCATTTTTCATGTATAAAGCACCAGGAACTTTGTGAAGCAGGGAGAGTATGTTTAATCATGGATTAAATGTGGAAACTGAGTCAAAAAAAGCAGAAGGCCAGTATTAAGATGTAGGGACTAGTTCTGGATGCCACTAGGAGTCAGCCAGGCACCCAGCACTCATTAACTGCCTCAGACCATGTGGCGTCCAGCTCCTCTACAAATCTGTCCGTGCATTAATCCAGAATTAGATGTCCGTTAAGTGACACTCTGGAAATCAGTGGTCTCAGTGGGTCATTCAAGATCACTCAAAGTCATAGCAAATGCAAGAAAAAAAGTCATTCTGAGACAGAAATCTCACGCATTTTGCATCTGTGCATACTCACTGCATACAGTGTTAATTCTGACAGGCACTCCTACAAATATAATAATTAATAAAAATCACAAAATTCTGGCCATCGGTTTCATCATACGGCACCACTGGACGACACCTCGTGCCAGCAGAAATCGCTGTAGGGTAGAGCCATCATCCAATACACAAGCTCATAAAGTAATGCTGTTAAGACTCTGCTTTATGTGGGCACAACAGCTCACCCACAAGCAAAAATGCCTCTTCTCTGCTATTAATGGAGTCGTGCCAGTCAAGGAGAGAGGTTGTGCATTAATAGCTTGAGTTCTTAGAGATCCTGACATTATATTGACATCACAGGCATGTTTACTCAGGTTGCTAATCACTGCTGAAAGCAAGTGTTTCTTGGGACACCTCTTCAGAGGCACAGCTCTGGCTACCAGGACTCCAAAGTGCTGGGGGAGATAAATATACAGAGAGTCATTTAGGGAAAACCCCAGTCACTGGTAGGGAACTGTTTTCATTCTCCCATGCATTCTGCAGGGTATGGTCTCTGAAAGGACAGCAAGTAGTAATGCATGTCCTCATGATGGTCAAATAAGGAGACCCATTTGAATTTAAAAAAAAACCCAGTTTGTAACAGCAAATTATCATGTGGCAAACATCCCATGGCAAACCATAGGTGTTTCTCCCATTTCAGTCCAGATCAGCAGCACACTTGCAACACATGTCTCCCAGTAATCCCCACTTACCACACTTCAGTTTGCCATGCAGAGCAGTCCTGGAGCATACCAACCGCGTTCCTTCTGGATGAGACTAAACCAAAAGAAGTTGCACGCTCTCGAAGGAGCGGGCAGGACGTGCTCCGACCACTACCACGCTGCCTACAAAACCAGACTGAAACCAGCTGGAAGTGCAAAGTAAGCCTAAGTGTATTTAGTGTGTATATTGGGTTCTCAGCACCAGAAGACTGGCTTTAAAGCCCTGATCCTGTTGTGCCCTCCACTTGGCAGAGGCTGCTCTACCAATGCATCTTGGTTCCGAGCACCTGCTGCCAGCTGGGACCTTCAGGAAGGATCCTGAGCATTGCAGCAACTGCATTTTTCAGTGAGCGTGCAGCAGGCATGCGTATTCAAACCTCGACTGGAAACTTACTGACCTCTGCCTACTTTAAGTGGATTCTTTGCTACCTGAAATAGCCTTCTGGCAATTTCACAGGTAATTTCCTATACACTTAGAACCTAAAATATACTAAAAACTAGGTTGATGGTATCTTGAATTGCCCTTGGAGGAATATTCACCACAGCAGGTTCATTTTTCAAGAAATGTGAAAGTTAAACATGTAAAAAATGACTCTCCAAATGTGTCACAAAAAAGACATTTTCCTTAGGAATATGAGGAAGCAAAATGTTTCCCTTTGGATTCCAGGAATATCTTTGCCCATGAGATCTCAAGTCAATCTGCTGCTTAAGATTAGTTATCTGCTTCTTAAAGGAATGATCTTGTGACTTTAATCTGCATGTCTAAGACAACTTGAAAGGTCTTACGCTAAAGCAAAGCACGCATTGGGACAGCTTGACGTTCTGTTTGTATGATCCCGACTGCAAAGGCAGGAGGGTTAGCACTGTCATATTACTTGAGAAGGAACTGAAAGGACACACAGAGCTCTCAGATCTCAAAAACAGGTTTAAAAGCCATTTGGCAAAAAAGTCACCGCAGAAAGCAAGGATTCCTCCCATCCCAGATCTTGACATGGACCCAGTTAAGTTCCTCCAAGGTTAGTTGGCTGATACTGAGATCCCTCAGCCTAGAATGCCTCTAACATCCTCGGGAGGATTAAGGAAAATACCTTAGTGCCAAAAAAACTGAAAAGTTTATTCTCTTTCTTCCTTACTGACAAGATACCTTTTTTCTTGGTGCGTATGCGCATTATGAGCAGTTCATTTTTGTCAGTGTTTCAGGGCACAAAGGCAGGCATAGTAGGATGCAATATGAGGGATACCAGATTTACAGCAATGCACTTTTCATAGTTTCACTTCAGATCAGATTGTCACTCTCAGGTGATGCACATTTAGATTTTGGCACATCTTTTGGACCAGACGGGAGCAGAGAGGGTGTCAGGAATGAGCTGCTGTGATGATGCAGCATTGCAAACATCTTCAGTGCCCTCACAGAGGGTCTTAACCCCCCTGCACCACCCAGCAGGATGGTGTATGGACCCCAGACCATCTACAACCTAGCTGGCTGTCCCTCCAAAGTCAGCATGCTCAGATAAAAGAAATGTTACCCACAAATTAGGGAATATAAAAGCTGTAACAACCAGGAGAACAGAGTTAATTTACTGGCACCCAACAAGGGCCACTTCCAGGAGATACTCCCATCTATTTCACCGCAGGCTCATCTTGAAATAACAGGAGCAGGCAGAAGGACCATATGAACACTCCCATGCCACGGCTTCTCCTGGACCTTGTATCTGCCTTCCCATCCCTGCCCTCATGTAAGTCATTGTTCCCCCCAAAAAAAAAAAAAAAAAAAAAAAAAAGAAGGCATTACAGCCAGGAATAGAGAGATCTAAATGAGTTTCATACCTAAAGTAAAGGCATTAAACCAGGTAGGATTTAAAACTCATTTGCTGTTTCGGCACATTCACATTTAGTAACTCGTGTAGCAAATTCAAAGGTTGTGCCCTAATTCCCATTCAGTACTTTACATATGAGGGCATAAACCAGCTGAAACCTGAAGCTGAGTTTCCTTAACTCAGGAGAGAACTTGGACGTATTTACCCGTATCACTAAAATGATGATGCTTTTTTGAGACCAGTTAGTATTCAGGTTTAATGACCAAAGAAATGGTCAACTCATTTTATTTGACTGAAACTATATACCTACATCAGGGTGTGCTGCAGCTGGCAGTGAACCAGAACTGCAGCCAGCGTGGCTTGAATATAATAGCACCAGGGACTGGGCAGTCATTGGGCTTACAAAACCAAGCCTGCTTTCCATATTCTCCAGGGATGTGTAAACAAAAGCACATGACTCCCAGCCTCATCTGAAATACCTCATTAAACAAGGTAACATTTTTTCAGTCTTCTTAAAATACACACAAAAATGCCAGAATGATGAAAGAAGAGATGGAGTTTCTTGCAGTTATTTAAACCTTGACACTAAACATATTTCCAGTCAAGAAACTTCTCTTCTGAACCTGACAGCTTATCTTGTTATAGTTTAAAATGAGGCTCTTTTAAGTCTCTTAAAAAACCCCCTTGAAATAGGAAGAGGCTGTTTGTGGCTTTAGTTTAAAACCACAATATATTAGCAAAAATATACAGTGAAACAAGCACAGCATTAAAATGGTAAGTGCTGAACAGTGGCTGGCAAAAGCATAGAAAAAGGTATTATGGCCAAAGGCCCTGCATTAAATTCTTGGTCCACGTTACATTCAGCTGTTGGCTGGGGATTTTTAAAGAGTGGTCTACTTAAAATACCACAGATTTTCAAATGTTTTTACCCTTAGTGGACAATAGTTTTAGCACCTTTTCTTCACGGACACTTGCATTATTTGCTATTGCGATACTCTGCTGCAAGAAAAAGGAGTACTCTCAGATACAGCAGTTGCACTGGTTCTGGATGCAATTTCTGCCAATATTCCCCATTTCCCCGTCTTTGTGGTTTTGACTGAATTCTTTATTGTTCCAAGAACACAGATTTGTGGCTTCATTTAACAAGCATTGTTAAACTAGAGTTTGTGAAAAAATTATATAAGCATTTAACACTTACTTTAATTCTTTCTTAACCTCTTCATAATCAGCCTGTCCTTTCAGTTTTTCTTCCAGTTGCTTTAAAAGAAAGAACATGGATTTAATTATTCAGATTTTTTTTTCTGCAGGCTTTCAAAATCATCTTTAAATTATTCCATATATACAGCAGCGCACAAGTGAGGGTTAATGACTCATACCTAATTTACATATATTAGAAAACAAACTATAACCAATTCCACGTAAACACAATTATACCTCACTCTTCCTTTGTTTACAGAGTGCCAAGCATTACAGAATTCAGTAGGTCCCAATTCGGCTGTTTGCAATGTCACTGTCGTGTTCAGTAAAGAGATGGGGGAAGACGGTATTAAAAATGGAGCAGCTGAAATTTTTACGAAACTGATAAATTGAGTAAACAAACAGGATGCTTTGGCACATACTGTATTCTTAATACGACAGTTCTTGATAACCTTATCCACATGAAAAAAAAGGACTGAAGAAGCTGTTGTTGACTGGAACGCCTTAGGCTCGTAAGACTTCTACAATGCCTCATGCCCAAACAAAACAGCTGTAACCAAGTTGTTTTACAAGCATTACTTATTGCAATAACTAATATGATTACAGACCGGAGATGAAGCATTGAGAACAACTCAGCAGGTCTTTTTGCTCAGGTCTGCCTGACCTGGGGCAGTCTCAATGGCTTCTCTTCGGTGTGAAGATGCCACAAACGTTGAAACAAACTTCCTAACACAATCCATAACGCAATGCCACACATTTGGACCTTACCCAGCTCCCAACAACAGTGCTCATCACTACAGGATAAATGCTTCAGGAGGCCTAAAACATAGTGATACATAATTGATGCCGTTATGTTGCTTGCAGAAGCCATGTTAATTTCTTACTAATAATTTCTTTGCTTAAGTGCAGGCAGACCTGATCTAAGCAAAGAACGAACAGAACTTACTGGCTTGCAACTTCCATGGATAAGTTCAGTCTAGCTCTCCTTCACTTAATTTTTGGTGTTAAAATTGGCACAGAATCCCAAAGGTCACAGGAAACAGAAATAACACAAGGACATACTACCCTCAAAGACAGAGCATCTACTTTGAAAAGGAAAGGAATGTATGGCATGAAAAAGAAAAAAAGGGCTTTATGTCCAGGAGAGGCTGCCTTCAGCGGAGAAGGGAATTCAAGAAGATCCTCCACACACTCCTGGGTTGCTCACTGAATGCAGGAGGAAGGCAGGGAAGGGCTACTGTGAACTTGGATAATTTTAGCAAACCCGTTTAAAATGCAGCCCCATAAAGTTCTGCACCAGCACAGTTACAGATGCATGAATGGCAGGGCAGGGACAGACGAAGAATTAGAAGTGGCAACCTCTTAATCATGCTGTCTTCCCAAGTAAGCTAGTATGCAGGTATCACCCATCTCAAAGCTATGCAGTGGGTACAAGCTGCAAACCTAAACACTATGTAATACAGCACCCACAGATTAGCGAGTTGATCATCTGAGCCATCTTAATAGTTTAAATGAGGCTTCTTCAGATAACAACAGCAGCACGACAGTGCTTTGTTGGACTTGCAGCTATTTTGCCATCTTCTAAAGGATTTCCTATCATGCCCTTTCTAGTTTACGCATTGCTGACATTTCTGCCTTGCCATTAGTACGTATATTAAAAAGCAGAGTCAAAGTGGACATCCACATTATCAACATACAGCCCTCTTAAATTCCTTTTGCTGCTTTTGGATACCATAACCTGCAATCCTTAGTCACTGTTGACAAGAGGCATCTCCCGGCAGTAATACATGGGCCCTGCTCTGGTAGCTGCTCAACAAGCAACTCTTAATGTATCACGACCACTGGTTGTCGCAGGGAAGCAGAAACTGTTGTTAAGTGTGGAATTTGCACTCTATGGGACATTTATAAAATGAGCGGCTTCTTAAAAGGTCTTGTGTCTTAGCATCCTCAGCCATCCGTAACTTGTGCAGTCATTCCAATTGTGTTAAAAAGAAAAAAAAAAAACATGTCTATTTCAGCTAAAACAAATTTTTTCACCTGGAATAAATACAGGGCAAGTTTTAGTAATTTCTTCTGACATGTCCTGCCTTACCAAACTCCAGTTACTAACTGGAATTACAGTGAGTACACTGATTTTGCTTTATATAGCAGACACAGTGCTACAAGTGTTTTGGTCCTGCTAAAAACCCCTGTACTGACGTAACTAGGAAAATCTTGGTTGATTTGACCAGGAAAGTCCTACAAATATTGAAGATGCTTCAGGTTTTTATAACCTCCAACATGTGTTGAAATCTCATTATGCAAATATACTACATAAGCCCAGGGCCCAAGGTATCACTTTAGTTCTCTAAATTTTAAAGAGGGTCAGCTACAACATGTCACAAGTTCAAGCACCTTTCCAAGCTACAGCTCGACGCTGAGCAAAACAGAGTTACTTTAACAAGGAATCCAGCCAGACTTTTTAATGCACCAGATCAGGCTCAGTAAGTCCAGAGAGGGATCTTTAAATGAATCCAGTGAGCCAGAGAGCCCTCAGTACTGGGAAGGAGACCCAGCATCATGACTGACAGCTTTAAAACTTGATGCAGGCAACGGGAGGACCCTGATGAACACCACACGACATCTTTCAGCTCTCCTTGGCCATGTCACTCTGCCAGCTGCCTCTAACTGCTTTTTGCCGCTTTACAGCTTAAAGCAAAGAAACACAACAATTCACCTCTTCCTTAACTTTGTGAGTCCTAACACTTTCGGATCTACAGCAGATTAGCTTTCACAGTAGGGAAAACTGGCTATTTACATTAGTCCTCAGTATAAAAAGTACTGGAATAAATTTAAAACAAACAATATTCTGGATTAATGTGTTAGTTACTTATGCAAGGATATGCTAAGAAAAGAAGCCTTTTGTAGAAACAGATATAAAATACAGAAAAGCTAATAATTCCCATTTTAATGCAATCTATATTAAATGTAATTCTGTATAGGGATATGCTATACCCTGAAAGTATTTCTGGAAATTTTAGGTACAAGACACAGTTAGGAAAAAAAAAACACTTTTTGACAGAATGAAGCTGTTTTGGACTCTCAGGTATTTGTGTGCTGTTTTAGGAGTATGGCAACCAGCAATATTTTACTTTGAATTGTATAAAAAACACACACATCCATCATTCCCAAGTACCTAATATAGAGATTGTTGCCATGGAAAGTTTGCACCTAAATGTATACTTTACTAAACAATATAAACTAACAACTGAGAATGCAATGCCTGTATATAAGCAGACCATTTAGGCACTTGGCATCTTCCCAGTCAATGACTCTTTTAAAATGTATTAGTATGGTAATTGTCTCAAAGAACCCTGCAAAATGCACAGAACATGGTATAACAAAGGTTCAAGCTGTGAGACAATCTGGAGGAACTATTATCTTGCACTAAATATCAACCTGGTTAATTCAGACAAAATCTATTCTAACATCCTGCAACACACAAAAAAGTAGGGAATCAGAGGACAGAAGGAATGGACTTGTGGCATTTCTGCAGACGAAATTTGCAAACGTTCCATGTTAAGGAATCATCTTGCATTTGTTGTACGAATGAACCCATGTTACAGTATGCATCAACTAGGTCTCCTCTTACGTTATTTAAAAAAAAAAAAAAATCATCACTGTATTATTAACTAAAGTGTCTTAGGTAAATAGTATGGGTTGTATTAAGGGGCTTAAACATTTAAAAAACCTGTTAGACTCTTGTCATAGTTTAGTTTAGAGGGATAAACTAAAAAGCCCATATTTAATTAACCCAGGTTATTTGATGTATCTCTTTGCTAACTAGCGCTGTTGTATTTTAACTGGGTAGCAGGGAAGCTCTAACTGCCAGCAACAAAGGGTTAATGTAATTATAGTTAGAAAAGTCTTGTTACTAGAGGACATGTTTTGATTATTAGATCAGATGAAGATAAAGAAGCAATAATTTTGAAAGTATTTCTGTATTGTTTCATTAAGTCATAGAGTATTAAAGAATTCCCCCAAGATACAGTCTGAGAACATTGCTTTAATTTGTGAAACTGTGATTCATTTTTTGTGGCGGCAACCATTACAATCTCAGTTATTTTAGAAGCAATTCCTCTATAATCAAACATGAGATCAACACATCACCACTGAGATTTGGTTCTTTGTACAACACATCTCAGACACAGGTTTTCCCTGGACTTTGGGGTGAAAGTATGTATTTTGAAATATCTTTATAGTGCAATAAATAAGGTTAAAGAGGGCTGAAATTACTAAAACTTTATCAATAGAGTCACTGCATCAGACACTATCAACAGGAACCTAAATACAGAGCATTAGCTGGGCAAGCCTATGAGAAAATGGAAGGAGATTACTGAAATGAAAATCAAAGACTTGCTCTGTCATTTCTGTGATCCTATTCCCTTTGAAGTTAATGGCTAAACTAATACTGACCTCACCAGGAACATGCTTTATTCCAAGAAAAGCTGTCAAGTGCAAGGATTCAAGCTATTTTCTGTCAGGCTTTATGAAAAAATAAAAATCCCTTATAACATGGGTCTAGCCAGCAAAATGTGTCCCTCAAAACCAGGCCAGCTCCCTCCTCCCTCATTAAGAGTGGTGCCCACATGGTGACAGATGGGCAGAGACCGATATTGTCAATATAGGAACCTAATAGGTTTCCTTTGCTCTACTGAATTTTCATAAAAATTCTGCAAGGCTGTCTTAAAACATATGGAAAGCATACTGAATGCAACACTTTGGCTTTCCTCCCTAACACACATTTCTCCACGTAAATTATGCTATACCATAACAAAACTAGTAACTGCTAAAAAAATGTCAGAATTAGAACAATTTGTAAGAGTTTAATTGAACATTAAATCATTCTGATAGAGGAAAGCCAGCCACGTCACAGCTAGAGCTAAGTGGGTACTACCAGCCTTCTGCTTTCAAAAAATTGTCAGACTATAAAACCTGCAAAACTATAAAGTCTTTAATGGAACAGATAAATTAATCTTGTTTACACTTTGAAGCTCATAGATAGGTAGAACAATGGAAGAGACAGGAGTTGCAGGAAACTGATTCATAACACACGTCAGGAAACATTTCTCATGCTTACTGATAGATCCAAACTGTGTGGGCTAGCGCACAAAGAAAGTAAAGCTGCTGAAGCAAGAGGTAAAAGGGTCACTCACAAAACTGTTAGATGTTGCTTCTGGTTTTAGTACAGTGCTACTGGCATGCAAATAAGTATAGGACTTGAATACTAATTATAAATGGGAATTACTGTGCAGCAAATATACAGGTAAAAAAATAATTAAACGGTTATTAAGGTTAAAAAGTCTTCTCTCTGTGTCTTGATTTTACTTGTTTTTATGCTCTAAATGATACACTTCCCTTTTCCAGTGGAGAGAACTGGAGAGGGTAGCAGGTAAATTCAAAGATAGATCACAGCACAATAAACATTCCTGGCAAGTCTTCAATACCAATCACTGGAATGGGAATTACAAGTTTTCAAACCTAAGAAGGATGTTCTGTGCCTTTTCAGTTCAGCTATTTCACTACATATCCATGGTAAATTTATGTTGGGGTTTGTTGGTGATTTTAATTCTAAAGGTAGCCATGTTCTGCAAAAACAATGAGAACTGGCTAAATTAAATTTCAACAAAACTGTGATCACTTGGAATAAAATGCCACAGAAACTAGAGTTCAACAGCATCCTGAAGAAGTCAGTGGTTTTTACGGTGCCTCTCAGAACCACAGAAGACTTAGATCAGTAAAACCCAGTATTGGCACATCAGCTATATCCTTCGAAAGCTGCTGAGCACAGAACCGAGCCTTACTTTAAGTGTGCTGTTCTTGGCGGTCAGCTGCTGCTCCAGCTGTGAGATTTGGCTGCTGGAGTTCTCCCGCAGCTTGGTGAGGCTGCCCTGGAGTCTCTGGACATCTTCAACGAGCTGGGCGATTTCCCGCTCCTTCGCAGCCAGTTCTACTTCCAAGCTGGACCGTGTTAGCACCTCGATGGCCTGCTCCTAATGTGAAAAAAGTATTAGACCACATAAATAAAAAAGGCAACAAGCTTGAATTCAGGGCAGTTACATCAGGACCAAGCATGGCATGGGGTGGCATCAGACACAGAAACAATTTCTAAATCTGGGACTACTGTGATTGACTGCATGAATCTGGAAGATGAACCATTCTAGTCCCCAGGACAGCTCTTTTGTAAAATGGGGATAATGGAGAGAATAAATTTCCCTGTTTCCTAAGTGCACTGGAAAGATGCAGCCGTGAAAGTCAAAGGATTCTACTTAGATCTATTTATTATTAATAGTCCAAATGCTTTGACAACTATGAAAATCTGTGCTTACAAAATACTAATCAGATAAAATATTCTGAAGTAATGGAGCAGAATTTCTTAATCAGGAACAGCAGAGTCATGTGCCTTTGGCTCTTTGCATGCATGCTGCACGTTTCAGGCAAAATTGTCAAAAACTGCCCCAAAGTGCTACTTCCAGTGAACTTGCTCCTTGCATGAAAATTGTTTGCTGTTAACATTACTGCTAGCAACTAAAGCCTCTCCTCCATGGGGATGTAGACAGATGTGACAGCTATAAGCCAAGGCCATTCTCCCTTTGGTCTCCACTTTCAGAAATTCCCTTTCCTAAATCAGGATCTTTCTTCTTCCTGTTTCCCAGGGCTGCAAAATCTGTCCTCAAGTCTGAAACTTCCCCACTAGACCAACCTTCCAGTAGGACAAGAAATAAGAGAGGACAGAAGTTAAGAAGAAGGTAGAGCTATTCAGAAAAGAGAATACAGACTAATTGTACCATCTCTTTTGTCTCCTTTTGTGTTAAGAGATCAATAGCTATAACGCATGAGAGAGCTCTGAACCTTTCTTCCATGAAGAGCATAAGGAAATCCTTGTGCAGATCTGGGGAGCACATGGCAGCCCAATGATGACCGCACATTCCATGAAAAAGCCTAAAATGCATCTTGCAAAGCTTAATGGCTGCTCCTCAGAAAACACCAGTGAAGTAGGAAAGAATCCATTTACCAAGAGAGAGACAATGATCGTAAGCATTATACCAAAGATCCTATGGCAGAAGAGCTGAAAATCCAACCCACCGATGCTGTCACCCAAGCACTTTCCTTACAATTCAAGATGACATTGCAGCAGATTGAAATATACTCCATAACCTCTTTTCTGGAAAATACAGGCACAACAAAATACCTTTTCCACATCTTCTAAACACTTAGCTTGATTCTTAGTGACTACATACCATTGTATCTCAATGAAAGCTACATGTACGAACAGCAGGTAACAACGCGCTCCTATTACACTGAATTATACTTTTAACTTGAAAAAACCTCTAATTTGCTTGCATGAAACATCACAAGTTGTATAATCATCTGCTGCTTGTGCCTATTGAGACTAGAACGTGGAGTCTGAAATAAGATAGATAATGATCATTTTCATCCTGCAGTAGTTGTCATATTAAATATAAATGAAGTGCAGAAGTACTATTAAATACAAGAAAGACCTAATGTTAAAATAATGATAAGACTAGGACACGAGATAGGAAGAGGCAGGTAATTCAGAGTTACAAGTGATATTCAGGCTTTTTATTTTTTTTACTTTTTGTTTTGCAGCCTGCTTGTCTATCTTTTGACTTCTCTGAGAAAATATTAGGTCGTATTAATAGACGACCAAACAGATCTGGAGGACTTACAGTTTGTTACTCATTCTCTGCAAATGTATTTTAAAGGCAACCATGTGTTTCTCTGGTATCAGTGTCAAGCATGTATATGGTTTGCAAGAAAAAAGCAATATAAGGAGCATGATTTCTTTTGTTTGTTAAATCTGCTGCTTAGAAGTAGACTAAATTTCACTTAATTGCAGATTTACATTTAAATACTCTTATTTCTCCTTTGGCAAACAAAAATCAAAATAATCTGTCTGCTCATCTGTAATACCTGTTAACCCAGGACCAGCTGGAGTCCTGTAATAGCACTCCGTGCCCGCAAGGTCCGAGCAGCAGAGTCAGTGCTACCAATCTCCCCAAACAGCAGTGTTTGCTTTATTTAGAAACACACAGAGAAGGCAACAAGCAGCCAAACCTTTAGGAATACAGGATATCTTCTCGATTTTCTAAGCCTCTTTTACTGGATTTATAGGTGTAATTCTCAGTTTAGATATATTCAGTGAAAACTGGAATGATACTGAATTTATTTCTAGCTCCTCTGACAGCCCATACACTACACTAAGAATAACAAGACCCAGAAATGGGCAGGCAGCAGTTTCCTGCTAATGCAACCGACTCCGGGCAAAGTCGGTCCCCTCGGTGCGAATCTCCACACCTCTGCTGTGCCCTCCAGACGGCCACACGCTGATGGCCCACCAAGGCACTCTTTGTTATACTGCATTGCTGCCTTTACTTTTCCTCTGCTGACACTCTTACCAATGGGAAATAATTTCTGAGAGTTGCTGCTATCCACCCGGACCAGCAGATGTGGAGAGCTATGGATCACCCTATCAGTTACCACGGAGCAGAGTGACCTCTGTCCTTCCCGTGGTCTTCTGCAGCCACCGACCCCCTCAGAAGTTTAACCAAACTGCAATCCCAAAGGAACAGAATTCCATTTCAGTTAAAATATTACTCAAATCAGATATTTTTATAGCTGCGAGCATAAATTGAAAGAGCTGTACTGCAGGAATGTCAGAAACCTGTAAGAGTCAGTAAATATTTTCTCTCACCACATCAGGTGCCTTCTGGATCTGCGTAGCAAGTTGGAGAGATTTGTTTGCTGACGAGAGCTGCTCCCTTAAGGTCTCTGCCTCTCTCTGAGCCACCTCTGCCCTCTGAAGGAAATGAAAAGGGGTGAAAAGAGAAAGTACATTCAGTTTAACAACTGACAATTATTACAAGAACATTCATCAATTCATGCCTGACTGAATATAATTGATTTTCCTAAACACTCAACCTAATAAATGTTAGAAAAAAACATAGAATGTGATGGATTTTTATTTTAAACAGTACAAGGAAGAAATAATTGAGCGATTATGACAGTAATTTAACGCTAGGAGCAAGGAATCCCCTGCTGATACTAATGCTGCGGCCCACTGAATTTCCCAGACTGAATAAATACAAGTGGAAATGGAGTCTTTTTATTCAATTTCTTTCTATTCTCAGAGACCAAGCAGATTTTATTGCAAGGTTCCTCATGGGAATAATTCTCACGGGTAAATGCTGAATTAAAAGATATTCTGACCATTCTCTCTAACACACATACAATGTTGTGGGCTGTCTTTCTTCAGTAATTATTTCCCAAAACATGAATTGTTAGATTCTGTTCTTTCAGCAGGCCTATTTATTCAACAATATTTAACCCTAAAGTGACAATTTTTCACAGATCAGTTACCAACTGCTGAGGATTTACACAATATCTGATAAGCCTCTGACTTGGCTAACAGAAAAAATTCCCATGTAAATATTGAATAATAATAGAAAGGAAAAAGGCAGAATTATGAGGAGAGATTGTCTGTACAAGAGTTTGGGTAGAGAAAGATGGATCAGTGACTTCAGGCAATAAATAGCAGCAAAGTCCTTTCCATAACTGTGTATAAGCTTCCATTAAGAAAAGCACAACAAAACCTGGTTGTTCTGCAGTATATACTCCTCCTGGCCAGACTTCCCTCTCTTTTTAAAAAATGTATTTTATTGTTACAAAACCACACTGCTTACCTCCTTCAGTCATCACTGCTTTTTACCTGGGCTACTCCATGCAAACCATGCCATGCTTTGAGCAGAAAATAGCTGAAATAATTTTCTGTCTCCACTTGCAAGACATATCACAAACTCCTCCAAACCCATGAGTTGCCACCAATCAAGGCCAAAACTTTTCTTGATCAACTTTTACCCTTTACACTGATGGGTGCCCTCCTTTATTGAATAATAAATTCACACTGCCATTTTTAAGCCACCACAACTGCCATATTTCTGTGTGCCAGACCCCTTGCTTTTTCAGCTAACCCTTTTGAAAACCTAAAACACCTAAAATAGCAAATATAAAACCTATATCCCCGTGTGTGTGCATGGTCTTTGACTTCCTAGTCAAATCAGAGAGACTGTCTGTGTGTTTAATCAATCAGTAAACTAACGGCAATCAAATACTAAACACATCATCTGTGCTATTTGCTCACAACATTTTATTAAATGATTTTGCATAGGTTCTACACCAGTAATTAAAATGTAATTGTAAAAAGCACAGTAACATGGCTCTAACAATCAGAGAGTGGGACACAACCTATTGTGTGCTTGAAAAAATGTCAGCAGCATTAAAAAGGCACATAAGGAGAAAGTTTACGTTGTTTATGCAGCTGGATAATATTAGGATAAAAAACTAAGCTAACAATACACATTGAGATAAATTATTTTCTTGCACTTTATTAGATGTGGATGTACATATATTGATCTAATAACTGCTAAGCAACTCTAGCAAAGCAGGAGAAGTTACTACACTGTGGCACTTGCTCTTCCATCTACTGCTGTATAAGTAATGGGTTTTGCAGCCTTAAGCAATTCTGTTGATGGCTTCCATTCACAGCAGCATTGTTTTGAGAATCTATTCAGCTTGCATGCAAGCAAACCACAGAGGATATCTCTAATAGATGTTACATCTGCATATACAGTAAGCTGTCAGCTGCCCTTTCTGCATAGCCTCCCCAGCCAATTCACAACACCTGTTGTAATCCTGTGAATAATATTAGACAAGATTTCATACTGCGCATTGTTAAAAATACATCAACAGAAACTTTGGGCAATTCTATTCAGGAAATACTGGTCCATTTTTTTATTTTTTTTTTTTCCAGAACAGAAGCTTTTTAGAGCCGGAATTATAGATGTGTTCAGTGTCTGGAAAGCACTTTTGGGTGCTATTGCAATATAAATTATAAATTACACACAAAAACCTGTTAAAAGAACGGTAGCTTCAAAATTGAGCACTTCAAAGTTTTGAAAAGTCAAGCCCAAGGCCGCGGGTAGGTTTGGCCACCCCCTGCGTGCAGGGCTTTGGGAGGCAGGCTGGAACCACACAGTAACACGCTATTGCTTTTTCCTGACAAGACCCCCTACTTCATTCGGCTCTCGGGATGGATATTGCTCAGTGAACGAATATTTGGCTTTGTCCCCCTTGTTCCGTGTGTGACCTCTGCGGTTTATTTACTGCAAACTAATCCCACTCTCCTCTGCAGATAGGATTAATCGCTTCCTCATGGGCTGTGCTCTGGTTTCCACCACCAAAGATCTAAGTGCTTCAGAAACGTTAATGAATGCACTGGCACAAATCCCCATTTTGAGCTCTACAGATTCCTCAAGCCCCCAGCACATCACCCTTTGGGTGCTCTGCACGGTGGTGTCAGCCACAACCCCACCGCACGGCACGGGCTGCGTTTGGCCGTTTCTCACCTGCACCCAAGACCCCATACAGCAGCTGCGGTGCTGCTCCCCTGCAAAACCCTCTGGTTCTGCCTCTCTCACTCCTATCCCTCCCTGCTTGCCACTTTGTCCCCTTCCTAATGAATTTTGGCTGCTGGAAGCACCATTTCTGTCTTTTCTGAGCTTCACAGAGCCTTTAGCTTCGGGCAGGCAAAAGCAAGCTCATACCTCGCACGACCCAACAAACTTCCAGAATTAGTCTTACCCCCACGATTTCCTCCTTCCTCTTTTCCTTGTCGCTTCTTCTCCAAATGCCCTTGCAGCAGCCCCGTCCAAGTCCTTCTCCTGCCTCCCTCCTCACCACAAACCCCCTCTCTACTCCCTGCTCTCCGCCGGGCTCTCACGCCGACGTTGCCCGTCTCCCCATCGCAGCAGGGGCAGCCTGGGGGAACGTCTCCCCTCCCAGGGCTCCCCACCAAAGTGGCACTGAACTTTACATTACAACCAAAAGAAGAAAAACCTGGCTGGTTAATGTTCACCCAGCCAGCGCAGTGATAGACTGCAGCGTGCTTGGGACAGGCATGGACATCAAAGCTGACAAATTCAAACCAGATTCTGTTGAGTTTGTGTGAACTCTTTTTTTAAGACGCTTACAGGCTCGCCAAACTTGGGGCTTTTTTTTTTTTGCTACTTGAAGCAACAGAAGATACAACCCTGAGAAAAAGGCAAACCCTCCCTCATCGAGTGCCAAGCCCCTTCTCTGAAATATGGGCACAGCAGGCTCCTCACCAAAACAGCAAGAACAACTCGTAAAATATGGGGAAAACTGGATTTTTTTCCTAATCTTGTTCTTAGAAATGGTTGAACAATTTTCCTGAAATAAGAAAAGAGAGTGCAGCCAGAGACAGACGCCCAGTATGGAAAAATGGCTAAAACCTAGCAATCTTGCACAACTTGGAGCCACTGGAAAGTTCATGAAACCTCTATTTGTGTGAAACTATCCCACCTCGGCTAAGAAATATGTATGCCATACAAGTACAAGTACACTTGCTTTTCATCAGCCAGTGCTATAACTCTAGTTTTCTTACTTCCAAATCTACTATGCGTAGTCCTGAAAACCCACGACGACCAGTGACAGTCACACTACTGGCCTTGATAAAGAACATGCAAATCCAGCACTGTCTAAAAATGCTATTTTTTTTGATAGTTCAGTCATACTTTCATTCTCCTTAACATAGCATGTAGATATTGCACTGTTTACAGTGGAGCTAGTAGGTCATGATTGTAATGCTGCCATGTGTTTTTCAAAAAAGTACCTTACACAACATATCCAGTTTAAATTATTCTCATTGTTTTCTGACAAGATAATGAATAGCATGAACTCAGTGCTCTTCTGCTTACAGTAAAATGTTAATTTGATCAAAGACCAGCGGTGGGAATAGCAAAATGAGACACACACAGGCAAAAACGTATAACCTTTCCCTTAGAGTTCCTCCAGCCAAACTGTATTTCCTTATAACTTGCTAGATTCAGTGCTATATGTAGCAAAATCTTCCTATGGGCTAGGAGTGTATATTATCACAAGTAATTCTGCTGAAGTTAATGAGGCTGGTTATGGCAGTAATCACCATGCTTGGTTTTAAGCGCTTGAAGCTGACATTCTTACTCGCAAGCTGCTGCAAAAGCTATGTTCCTCAGCATACAAGATCAATTAAAACACACTGGTTCAATGTGCTTTAATTTTCTAACTTCTGAGATATAAAAATTTATTTTAAAACCTTTAAACGACCCTAGCTTTCACAGAACAACAAGGTTATCAGAAAATCTGTGACATGCAAGGCTCTTCAGCGCACTGGCACCCATTTATTCCAGCAATAGAGAATTACATGAAAAAAAGAATAAAACCTCCAACAAGCAGAAGTTGGGTTGTCTTCATTCTTGTCTTCAGGCTATTGCACTTTCCTTTGCACACTGAAAGGCCGCTAGATAAATGTATTCCCAACTGAAAGCTAAGCATTTACAGGAAAGTCCTCTGTTTGTATGAAAATAATATTAACCATATTTCGCCTTTATACAGCACTCCTCTGTGCAAGGATCTCAATGCACTTTATAAAGTAAATGTTATTATTTCCATTTTACAGATAGTGAAATCACAGGATTAAGTGAATGACCTCATCTGCTATAAAACAGCATAACTTTGCTGAATTCAGCGGGGCCATGGCACACCCCAATAGCAGAGGACCTAGTTCATTTGCAAAGGGAGTCAGAAATAAAAAGCAAATACTCGGCAGCATTTGTGGGCAGTATCTGTCTTAGCCTTGGTACAGATGAAGGAGTCATGTCAAGACAAATACCCTTCTTCGTGGAAACAAAAACAAGCACTGCCTTGTCACTGGTTTTGTTACCACTAGTGGGTCAGAGCAAA